AGAGAAAGTGTTTTCGCACCACCCGTTGGCCCTGACTTCTTTCACCCAAATGCTGGATGTTCCTGTTGCGAACTTCGGTTGTAATCCGGGTTTAAGAAAGATTTTGTTCAGTTTTGTGTTGTCGCTCGATATCGATAAAAAAGGTGGACGGTGGACATACGGTTTTTGTTTGCGGTTTAGGCCAAATTCGCATGGTTTCGGGCTCGCACACCGCTCATTTTTTTCATTTCATATTTCATAATTTTATCTGCACGCTTCCTGCAGTAACTTAGCTCATAGCACATGCATGCATCACTCGCATGTGTTGGCGCTCGAGAAGAAGGTTTTGGATTGTTTGAGCGAGCCTCTTGCAGAAGCTCGAAATTGCCAGGCAACCGGTAGTTGCCCTGCCAAAGCGATTCTCAGCTTTGTTTCCGAGGTTGGCTAAATGCAAGCATTTTTTGATTGGATGTTGTTTGTCAATTCCCGGAGCACGACCATTGTAACAGCCACAGTAGAGTACGTGTGATGGCATCCACACAGATTAAAGCATGAATGGAGGTTCGACAGTGTCGTTACACAAGTTTTTTGAAGTTGTTTAAGTTGGATTGGTGAAAAAAAAGTTTTTGTGACCTGGAAAATCAGAACAGAAAAACATACAAACGTGCAGCGCGCTGCATCTCCGCAGGTTTAGAGTCGCTTTCGAGATCAGCGCAATTCATTTCGAAGATATTGTCGCCGTGTCGACATCTTGGAGGGGTCAGTTCAAAGCAGGATGGACTGGATCCAAAGGACACATTCGTGCAAATGAAAACACAGCACGTCTGGAATTGGAAGCAGCATTCCGTTGATGTTTGGAGTCTAAGCATTGGACTCGCACACCGCCGCGTGTTCTTGGGTTTCATGTTGTGAAGCTGCACACTTCCTGCAGTGACAGTGGTGGCACTATATATATATATATACATACATATATTGTATATATTCGGAGCTCGTTAGCATGTAGCAATTTTGCGGTCGAGAGAAGTCAACAGGTGCAAGGGCCCCAGTCTGCACAATGTTGTTTGCCAAAGTTCATGAACACTTTGCAAATAACACGTGCATTCAGTTCAGCACATACTCGCATGTGTTGGCGCTGTATCGTCTGTGGAGATGGCAGTAAAGCGAGAACTGACATTGAAAGGGCGGTCATCGTTGCAATTTGTCGTCGTTCAATGTCATGGAGAAGTCGTCGACAGACGAAGAGGAGGTTTTGGAATGGTTGCGCGAGCCCATTGCAGGAGCTCGAGAAGTCCTTTATAGAGCAAGATTGCCATGCAACCGGTAGTTGCCCTGCCAGAGGTTGCCTAAACACACGACTGTTCAAGCGTCCTTCTGATTGGATGTTGTTTGAGCGCAACAATTGCAAAAACCGCAGTATGTGTGATGGCCTTACCCGTTGCACCGTCATGTCTGGCACGTGTTGCTGTTTTGCCACCACCGCTTGTTACTGTTGTCTTGTGAGGAGAGCTGCTGCCGCTCTTGGCTGCAATTTGGTTGCACAGTCTACTATTTTCGAAATAAGCATGCACGCTGAGTTTTGATTCTGAGCTACATGATCGACTAAACACCGCGCTATAAGTCTTATCAAGTCTTCCCAAAAAGGCTGCAGTGTGTCATGAAGTCGATTGTCAAGATGTACGTCTGCTCTTTCCGCTGTGGTTTGTTTAGGGATGATTTTCTGGGACAGACAAATAAAGACATGAAGCTAAGTGCGTCGCCCGCCACAAAATGTTGGCTGAGGTAACATCAAGCAACTACCAAAATGTTTTTGACTTTTGGCAGCTGCCGTCTCAGCGCCTGGACGGGCTGTTGTGCTTGCAGGTTGAGCATGGATTGGGTTGCTGTCGTTTTGGTCTGACTGAGCTGTTACCAGCAAGTGATCACAAGTGTTTCAAGCCCGCAGCCAGGCAGGCAAGCAGCCAGGCAGCGGGACGTCATGGCTGTAGCCCGGCGATAAACTTCCAAGGTCTTCACTTCGGTGCCTCGGCTATCCCAGGCCAGCTTTGGCCTTTGCTTGCGGCTTGAGGTTGTAAGGTTGTGGGATTATTGGAAGGCTCCTATGCTCCTCCAGAAGTTGGTTTTTTTCAATGCAGTCGTGACCGTGGCTGTGCCGCAAATCTGGGCTCAGAGGGAAGGTTGCCGAAGGCAATAGGCTTTTGGCTTCCCCCTCGACTTCCTCCCTCGGCCCCTTGGTTTCGTCAGGGGATCAGCCGGTCGCTGCACTGGTTGTTCTACCCACACACCAGAACTTGCTCTTCAGCTCCTTGATTTGCTCAGGCTCCGCCATGGGAAAGAAGGCCAGGGCATCGGGGCTTCCGAGCTTGACTCACTTCGGAATTGGGGGGGCTTTTGGATCTGAGCCCTTGCGGGGCTAGCGCTCTGGACTTCGGCCTCCTCGGGCCGCGCAGGGCAAGAAGAAGGCGAAGCTCACCGGCACCCCGGACGTTGTCCGCTTCAAGGGCACGCGAGAATACTGCCTACTCCAGGCCTCATATGCCCATGGGCGTCTCGGGTCGACTGGCCTTGTTGATGTTCAGATCGCATCTGAAGGAATGTAAAGAGATCCAAGAAAGCCTCCCGTTCGTCGCAACGGATGCCTTGGATGACTTCGCGTATAAGAAGGCAGGGCGCAACTTCTGCTTCTGTTCGTTTAGATGTACCAGGGCCGCGGTCACGGCCCAAAGCATCCCACATGTTTAATCAAATCTGCACGACGATTGCAGGTTGCGAGGTTTCTAAACATGGTGGGCCTCCTCGCGGAGTACTTGGGCATCCACTCCAACAAGGACCCTGATATATCTGTTGTTAGCAACGGCCCCAAACCAAAGCTAAAGCCTTGTCTTGAGAGCACCAGGCCCGCCGTGAGCCAGCAGTGAAGCCGTCGGTGTTGGCATTGCACGCATGTGGGGTCATGTCGTCACAAAGCATGCGTCAGGACTACAGATTCAACTTTTTTCACCGGTCCGCCGCTGAGACCGTTGAGCTTCTCCTTGGATTCAGCCGGCCAGGGTGAACTCAACCGACTGACCCTCCAGGCTCTTGTCGCCGACCCCGCAGTTTTTCCCAATGGGCTTTGACGTCAACGTCATCCGACAGGCACAAAGCCGAGACCCGGAAGCGTCGACAGCTCACTTCTATCCTGTGGAGGCGAGAGAAGCCCAGGAGAGACCGGGCGTGTCTCTTGGCGCAACTTCTCGGCCAAAATGTCTGGTAGCCAAGGCGAACCCCTAGCCATGGCCTACTTGAGACTGCACTCGATGTGTTCCACCAGGAGTTTACCCCGTTTCGCTACATCGGCGATGCGTCTTCCCGTCGTGGGGATGCGGTTGTCTATGACTCTTTTCCCTTTACGTCTTTACGTCTATCATTCTAATTCAAGGCTCGTGAATGACTGTATTACATGCAAAGCTGCATAGCTTGATCCACGGCAGCTTCAGAGAAAGCACTATCCTGCAGCAGAAGTGGCCAGACGCATGGCGCCACATAGAGGTCCTCCGTACTCCACATGAGAACGTGGGTATGATCCGAGAGATGCAAGCCAATGTCGTCACCTTGATGAAGCCTCGCATCGACGGTGAGTTTCAGCCGATTCCCGAGTGTGAAAGTAAGCGTTGAACACATGCATCAGACATGGATCCTTCAAAGGAAGCAGGGTTGTCAATGCGAAGCATTCGCAACCATATGGGCCCAAACTCAAGGTCCCCCTAGTTTCGGCGAAGACTTGTGTGCCATGCAAAACAGATTGTGAGAGCTTGTGGCCGCCTGTGCTCCTCAGTCGCACAGGTGGTAGCGGAGCACTGGAGGCAGCTTGCTAAGGGCGAGCGCCGGAAGTGCGCACAGTTCTCTGCTGTTGGGCAAGGAGATGAGTGCAACGAATCGAGATGAGGAGCGGCCTAGGCTGGAGCGGTTTGATGGGTCAGATCCAGCCAGCTACAAGCGATGGCGTCGCAAGGCGGAACTCATGCTCCTGGCTTTACCTTCAACAATAGCCAAGGAGAAATGGGGGCCGAAGCTTTGCGAGTTCCTGCATGGTGAAGCTGAAGAAGTGTGCGAGGGCATTCCACTAGACAAGCTGACTGGTGATGCTGGCTACAAGCTTATCTTCGAGACGCTGGATGCCCGCTACGCCGATCTTGAGCAAGATGCTATGCAGAAATACCTGAACGAGTACTTCTTCAAGACGCAGATCAAAGCTGGGGAAACTTACAGAAACCTCACTATAAGGGTGGACACAGCTTATCGGAATCTGCAGGAGGTCAATGTGAAGCTGCCAGAAGAAGTGAGAGGCTGGTTTTTACTCAGGAAGCTGGCTTTGGATAAGAGTTCGGAGGCCATGGTGCTGACAGCTACCTCGGGAAGCCTCAAGTACAGCGACGTCACCAAGGCCATCAAGTCGATCTTCCCTCAGGGCAGGTGTATGAGCACAGCCAATCGGCTGAAGGACGTGTATGCTGCCGAGATGGAGGGTGAAGAGAGTACTGAGGATGGTGGTGGCGATGAAGAGGAGAGCGAGGTTTTTCAAGTGGTGGCAGACCAATTCCAAGGCCTGGAATCTTACGACGATGAAGAAGCGCTGGATGTTCTGGAGACATATCAGGATATCAGGCGCAAGCTGCAGCAGAAGAAGATGGGAAGAGGCTATAAAGCTGCGGCGCCAGCGTGGAGTTTGACCGGGACCGTTCAGGGTCGACTTGAGCAACTCAAGTCGAAAACAAAATGTCATATCTGCAAGCAGACGGGGCACTGGAAGAGGGAGTGTCCTAAGCGTCGTGACCATGCAACCAGTTCCTCGACAAGGAGCGGCTCTACCAAGGACACCAAGGATGCGATGATTGCGGACCTTGGCGCGATCCCCGAAGGCAAGTCGGAATGGTTCGTGCCAGTGGAAGAGATTGAGGACCTAGATGTGTTCCTGGTAGAGGGAGACAGAGGCGAAGTGGACATAGTGATTGCTGGTCAGGGAGAGACGGATTGCGAGCAGATAGATGCCGTGTTTCAGGGGGGCCTTGAAAAGTCGAGGCTACTTTCTCCGAGAGTTTTTGATGATGCACCGGAGCGTGCGCAGTCCAGCGATGCATATATGGCCGAGTGCAGTGATGGTGTAGAGTTTGCTTCGGTCACTACTCATGCGGTACCAGACACGGCCTGTCGTAGAACGCTCATAGGTCAGAGGGTTCTTGAGGGCCTTGTTGCGGAGTTGGGTAAAAGAGGTCTTCGTGTCAGGTACATGGATGAGAGACATGAGTTCAAATTTGGGAATGCAGGTAAGCTGCGGACCACACAGTGTGTAGTGATTCCTGCGTGCATTGGAGGCAGGCTGATAGCGTTGAAGGCAGCCGTGCTTCCGAATGCGGGGGCTGATACACCACTTCTCCTTTCGAAAGAGTGTCTTAGAGGTTTGAAGGCTACTCTCGATATGGAGCGTGATGTTATGTATGTGGGGAAATTTGGGGTTAGCGTAGATATGAAGGAGACTGAGAGGGGACACTATGCTATACCTATTTTAGGTTGCAGGGTGAAGAGGAGAGAAGTGGGTCAAGCAGTGGAGAACGAGTCGGACATCCACGAGGTGCATGAAGCCGTGTGTGCAGCCACCCCAGGTACAAGCCGCGACGTGGGAAGTTGTGCATTCAATCCCGTAGACGCCTCAGAACATGGAGGAGGTTCCCATGGAGATGGAGGGCGAGATGGTGGTGACCGAGGACGGGGTACCTTGGCGGTCGGATATCACCGCAACGCCGTTGATGAAGGATCTGCTGAGTGCACTGAAGCCAGAGTTGGGGGCCGAGAATCAGAGTGTGAGCACCCTGCCGGTGAAGGTGCTGGACTCAGCAAACGATCTCGACGACGACGAGCCCGACGTGCCAATCAGCGGAAACGAGATTCTGAGCATCGGGAAGTACGCCAAGGCCGGGATGATGAAAACCTTCAGCGAGATCTACACGGAGGACAAGATCTATGTGCAGTGGGTACGGAAGTTCGTGACGACGTCCCGGGCAAACAGCAAGGGACAAAACCCGACTTCCCCGATGATGAAGCTGCGCTTGTACATTGCGATGCGAGATCAGCTGAAAGAGAACAGGGTGCGACTGGATACACAGTTGCCAAAGGTGGTGGAGGAGCATCCCTACATCGACCCGGCGAAGATGGCAAAAGAAGCAGTGCGTCAGGCAGCTGTTGTGGCGCCCACGCCGAAGACCAAGGCCAAGCGGGCAGCGAGCAGCAAGCCAGGAGCCGCTTCGAGCAGTGGCTACGAGATCTGGGAAAAGGTGGAGGCAGTTCCATCGGAGCACGAGCGCAAGGGCATCAAGATCATGAAGGAGAGGCTGATGGAGCAGATGCGTTTGTTGTCTGCCCAGATGGAAGAGCTCGAGAACCTGGATCCGGAGGGATGAGCAGTCCCAGCGAGCCGCAGAGTATGAGTCGGCGGGAGCCGGACACCACGTTGTGCACCATGTCCAAGGGTGAGCGACAGCTGTGTAGAGCAGGGCTGAACGTCATAGGTGACCGGCCGGGCAAGAGCATGGGTCAGGTTTGTGGTGATAGGGGTTCGAAGTTGGATGTTCTGGAGGTTTTTCAGGGTCACGCTTGCAGTAATGCCACAGCCGTGGGTCTCACAGCGAAGAGCATATTGAGATTCTCCGGGAAGTTCGAAAAACATCAGCGGTACTTTGGTGGGAAGATGCAGTCACATGTGCTTGCGCAGTTAGATTTCATGTGTCCTAGGTTGCTTATATTAGGCATGCCCCGGGAGTTGCGTGAGATGCTGACGGGTAGTCTTGAGCAAGATGCTGTCTACTGTAGTAGTTACAATCGTTTCGCCAATGCCGTGAGTCTGTCCCAGGAGTCGAGCGGTAGACTGTTTGCTGTCGAGGTAGGTCCGTGTCTGAAGCCACATGAGAAGCTGTTGCGTAGGACAGGCATGTACTGTGTGCAGCTGCCAGGGTTAGGGACCTCAGTGATGACCAACTGCAAGGAAGTGTGCGAGAGAGTGAAGACAGGACAGAGAGAGGGACAGTCCGAGGACAATCGGTATGTGCATAGGGCCATAGCCAACATGTTCATTGCTGCTGTGCTTGATTGGAAGAGAGCTCGAGATCAGGTTGTGACGTCGACGTGTGTGCATGCTGTTGAGGACTTGCGTAGCGGCACAGGGTTGACTGATCAAAAGATAATGGTGCTTCTGAGAAAGTGCCACGAGAATCTGGGACACCCGTCGCCAGCAAGGTTGAACTTGTTGTTGAAGTCAGCGCATGCGAGCGATCGTGTGTTGCGGTTGGCCCGAGGATTGACATGTGAAGCGTGCGATTCCTTGACTAGGCCGAAGGCTCAGCACGTGACAAAAGTCAGGAGGGCAACGGAGTTCAATCAGCAAGTGTGCGTGGACACTTTTGAGGTTGAAGTGCGTGGGTCGAAGTTGCATTTCCTGAACATTTGTGATGAAGGAACATCATATCAGCTATGTGTGCCCTTGTGGAAGGGAAAGCAAGCGCGACATGTCAGAAATGCTTTCAGGAAGTCTTGGAAGCGTTGGGCAGGAGCACCCATTCGGGCATTCACGGATGGTGGTCCGGAGTTTGAAGCTGAGTTTGAGCATGGGTTGCAGTTGGATGGCACATTTGGTGACAAAGCTGCTGCGTATGCGCCTTGGCAGAATGGCTTAACGGAGCGCAAGGGCGGAGTGTGGAAGCTTGCTTTTCAGAAGGCCTTGTTAGATGCGAGCCCTCGGTCGAAGCAGGAAGTACAGGAGCTCGTGGACAATGTGAACGTTGCAGTGAACACCATGACCAGGAAGGATGGGTATTCTCCGTGTCAACATGTGTTCGGCCGAGAACTGAGGGTTCCAGGGCTGATCTCAACGGAGTATGATCCTGTCATAAATTCCGGGTTGGTGCAAGGGGAATCTGTCTTTGAGAGGAGAATGGTTTTCAGGAATGCCGCGAGGAAAGCCTTCTTGGAAGCCGATGGGGATGCCAAGCTGAGAAAGGCCTTGGAGCACAGGATGAGGCCGGAGCGTGGACCGTTCAACGCTGGCGACCTGGTGTACTTCTGGCGTCGACACCGTTTTGAGAACAAGCATCATTGGCATGGTCCTGCGGTTGTGATTGGAAGTCAGTCGTCAAAGGTCTGGATCGCACAGGGAACAAAGGTTTACAGGTGCTGTCCGGAGCAGTTGAGACGACTGACACCAGAACAGGAGGCAGTGATCAAGCTCCGTGTATGTTCGTTCCGAGGTGAGCGCCAGAGGGGCAGGGACATATCATGATATAAGTGACCAAGAGAGACCGCCTGTTGAAGGGGCGGAGGAGGCTCAGGCACCACGCGTTGTTCAGGCCGGGGCGGGTGTTGGAGACATGGAGCTTGACGTCGAGCCATCGGTCGAGGCCAGCAGTGGGTCGGTTGCAAGTCAGGATTTGCCAAGCATGGATGTTGAGTCCAGAGCGCCCCGTCCACCTCTTGAGGAGGGAGAGGAGTCTCCTTCCAAAAGACTGCGAGTCAGCGAGTTGACGCAGGCCTTGAGGCGAAGCGCCGATGTGCTTGATGGTGCACAGCATGTTCAGAGACAGGTCGAAAATCAGGTTGAGGAGCCGCGGCGTGCAGAAGACATTCCAATTCCTGGTGATAGCGATGAGGAGCTTGAGGTGACAGTGGACAGCAATGACTGCTTGGTCGTTGAAAGGACGAAAGGAAGGAAGGAGGTTGCCATGAGCAGTGTCGCCAAGGATAGGTCTCAAGGATTAGATGAGGCGAGGAAAAGGGAGTGGAAAAAGTTGCTGGACAGCAAGGCGATTGTGGTGCACACCGGGGAGAAGGCAAGACAGCTGAGGAAACAATATGCCAAGATAGATCAATGGACTGGCAGGCAGGAGAAATTCATGAAATCGCGCTTTGTCATCACCGAGGCAGGAAATGGCCAAAGTCCCGAAACTCAGGGGCTTAAAGCTCGATGGTGCATCCGGGGATATCTGGATCCAGCTCTTCTGGAGCTGGACACAGATGCGCCTACCCTGTCAGCAGAGGGTTTTGCCGTGGCTGTGCAGTTGATAGCAAGTAAGCGGTGGTCACTGCAGATAGCCGACGTGGAAGGGGCTTTCTTGCGTGGTGACAAGCTTGACAGTCAAAGAGGCCGGATCTTCGTAGAAATGCCGCCGGGAGGGGTGCCAGGCTATGATGATGGTGAGGATTGTCTCATAGAGGCAGTCAAGACAGTGTACGGCTTGGCGGATGCTCCGAAAGCATGGTGGCGGTCTTTCAGTACTGCGTTGATTCGTTTGGGCCTTAGACCTTCCAAGTTTGATCCTTGTGTCTTCTGGTATTTCAATGGAGACGAAGTTGAAGGGGTCATAGCGCTTCATGTGGACGACATGATACTTGGCGGAGGTGAAGCTTTCAGAAAGCATGTGATTGAGCCGCTGAAAGGGCTGTATCCTTTCAAACACTGGAAGGAGGGGTCAGGTGAGTTCTTAGGAAAGGTTCTTAAGCAAGAAGCGTCGGGAGAAATCGTCATCTCTCAGATGGAGTATGCTTCCGAGCTGAAGGGGATTCACATGAGTACTGCCAGAAAGAGAGAGAGGGGAGAGAGTGTGACTGATGAAGAACGACAACAGATGCGCGCTGTCCTGGGAGCAGTTAACTGGCTCGTAGGAGGAAGCAGACCGGACCTTGCGGCATGGTGCTCTCTCCTGCAGCAGAAAGTTTCCAAAGCACAGGTCGAACACCTGGTGGAGACAAACAAGCTGGTAAGCCTGGCTCGTGAGAATGCTGCAATGGCTATACGTATTTTACCCATACCTGTGAGTGAGATCAGCTTTATGGTACTCTCAGATGCTTCGTGGGCAAACGCAAGTGAGAAGTGTAGTCAGGCAGGCTACATGATTGCAGCAGTGGACAGCATGCTGCAGAAGGGCCACTGGGGAAGAATGTCACTTCTTCGTTGGCGCAGCTACAAGCAGGATCGTCAGGCTCATTCTACGCTCGGAGCTGAACTACTGGCCTTGTCACGTGCGTTGGCAGAAGCCAGATGGCTTCGGTCGATATGGTGCGAGGCTGTGTATGCCAGATACGAGTTGCGGGACGACAAGAGCTGGTCTAACAAGGTGCAGTTGACAGCAGTGGTGGACTGCAAGCCTGTGTATGACCACACCAAGTCCTCCACAGTCAGTCTGAAGGATAAGCGCATGGCGATAGAGATGTTACTGGTGAAGAATGACATCAAGGTGCACAACATTACCTTGAAGTGGATCGCCACCAAACAGATGATTGTGGATGTGCTAACTAAATTAGGTGCTCCGATGAGTCTCCTTCTCAGGGTGTTGCGAGAGGCGTGTTTTATTCTGAAAGAGGATGAAGTGGTGCATCAGTGGGCTGAAAAGCCAAAGTACAGAGGTTTTCGAAGGACGTCTGATGCATGTTCACTTTTGGGGGTGTGTGAAAGTAAGCGTTGAACACATGCATCAGACATGGATCCTTCAAAGGAAGCAGGGTTGTCAATGCGAAGCATTCGCAACCATATGGGCCCAAACTCAAGGTCCCCCTAGTTTCGGCGAAGACTTGTGTGCCATGCAAAACAGATTGTGAGAGCTTGTGGCCGCCTGTGCTCCTCAGTCGCACACCGAGGACTTTCAACGGAGTGCTGCATACGTACCCGGATGAAATCAAGCTTGCCGCAGCTCCTTGGTACAGGTTTGGGTGTCGTGTCGTTAAGTCATTGGAATGCACTTTTTGTTCATTTGATCCCAAGCCCTTCTGTGATATCCTCTAAGGAAGGCTTCTTAAAGGAGGTCGACAGCACTATGACGAAGATCGCCAGTGAAATTGAGCCGCGGCTCAAGGACGTCCTCGTAGGACGATTCTGGGCATAGCGTGAAGTTCATTTCGCGTCATTCTTGGAAGATATAGCTCTTGGCTGCAACCATCTGCAATCTGGAGATCTGAAGATGTTGCAGATGTAGTAAAGCAGATTGAGTGGGAGGACGACTTCGCGCCGGGCCTACCTCGCTTCAAATCAGAGTTGAAGGCACTCCGAGCATCCGGAGCCTTTGAGGTTGGCTTTGGCCCTGAGTACGATGGGTGAGAGTGTGCCTTTCCTGAAATTCTTCTTGAGATGTTGTCGCCGGAGCGGCCATAGCCACAGCTTGAGTGGAAGCCTAAAGCAGCTGCGTCCATTCGGGAGTTCACGCTTCTGAAGCTCTTTCGGAGGTCGTGGGTGAGATGATTCGCACGGATTTGAGTCACCCTAGCCCTTGGATTGTGCTTCGGTCCAGGACGACATCGAGCTCTTCGATCGCCTGTGGATGGAGTTCGAGGTGGGCTACTGTGGGTGTCGGTCTCCCCTCCTGCCGGGCTAAAGACACTCCTGCGCCTGAACTCTTGTCCCGGAGGAGCGGTTTGTCAAAGCGCGGCACGAGATCATGACTAAGGCCGCCGGCAGGATCCACCTTCAGTCGTTTCAGGCAGTCTTACCATCCGTGGTTTTCCTTTTCCCAAGAAGCTCTTGGATCCTTGAGGATTCTTGAAGCTCCCAAGGCCCCGAGGCCTCAAGAGCCAGCCGAGCCCATCTGGAGGTCTTCGAAAACGTGGAGCAAATCATCACTGTGGAGCTGGAGCTCACTCAGGCCGAGGAGTCGCCCGGCAGCAGAGAGGGGATAATGTAATATAATATTGTATAATATAGTATAATAAAATATAATATAGTATAATAGAATATAATATTCTCCGTCTTGTAGCCGAGAGCTGCTCTCTGCTCTCTGAGGCGGAGGGATATCGAAGGAAAGCAGCGGTTGGAGAATGACTTTGTCTCTGCCCCTCGAAGTAGATGGGTCGTCCCAGTCAAGTCTTTGCTTTTTGCATCTTGGCATGGTTCTCCATCTGTGCAAACGCATCAACTGCTCGACTCAGGTTGTTGATGCTTGGCTGCTGACTAGCTGTCGGCTGTCGACTTGTTGTCTTTGCTGTTCACACACAGCGGGTTACTTGTTGCTGGCATGCGCCGCTGGGGTCTGTCGGCGGCTTTGAGCTCTACGTTCTAAGGAGCAGTTCACCAACAAGCCACTTCTCTGCAGCTTTCAAAGGACGTCGTCCCATCACCGAATTCCCAGAAGCCGAGGCTGTTTCCCGAGACCTCCTCCGACAAGCTCCCTGCGGATGTGATCCCACTGGCAGAAGCTTGTATCTTCTACGAATCCAAGTGCGACTTTGATTGGACTTATGCTAGACTGCTAGACTCTACACCTGGCGCGAGTTCTCACTCTGATCTGCATCTGCATGCAAGGTACAGAAGATTGGCTGCATTTGGCCAAACATCTGATCTACGTGACCGGGCTGCCAGCAGGTGTTGCTGCCCTACACCAAATAATCGTACTTTTCTAGTCTGTCTAATTCCTGGGTTCCAATCGAGTCTTCACTGAACCATTCTGTGCTCCTTTGTAGGAAGCGGTTTCACCAAGTTCCCGCGAATATCTCCGTGACTCAGGAATACTTGGAACTGAGACTTTATGCCCGGAGCTTTGACTGTGATCTCGGACCGCCAACACCGTGCAAGTGGACCTCGGTTGAGTGGCGACAGCGCCTCGCATTTGCCAAGAGAACCTTTGCGACTGCGACCTATCCAGGTCATGAAGATTCCGGAGCAGCGGCTAAGCCCCCAGCTCAAGGTGCACCGCTATGTTTGGGCGGTGTGAGTCCATGAACCTTCGAAATGCTTCATGGCTTCTGGATTGAGAGACGTTCCGCGTCCAGGGATTCCGTCTAGAGGGCAAGCGGGACACATCCGGGGATGGTATCGCAGCCCAGATATGGTTGACTAAGGCTTCCCGTTGTGCGGTGACGCACTGGAGATACATCCACAAGCCTGAATAGTCATTGTAGACCACTGTGGTGATTGACATTTGCTCACATGCTCGATCTGGTCGGAGTGCTTCAAGACGCGGCTGGCAGGACAACCCGCAGTTCATGCGGCACCTCAAAAACTTCCACGCAGCTGTGCTGGCTGCCCGGGAGGTTCCGCACCGGTATTCCTCCATGTCACTTAGTGACTTTAGGGTTTTTGGTGGTATGCGGTATGCAGAAAAAGAGTCGAGCTACTTCCCAGCTGCAACGCTTATATTGACTGCAGCTCCACAGATCCTGGAGCTTCTGATTGGGGATTGCTTGGCAAAGCAAGCTCATTCTACACAGCTTGGTCTCCAATAAACGAGCTTTTAACTGTACAGACCAGCGATGCAGGTTCTGCAGCTTTCCAACGTTTCTTGCACTGCCCACCCCCTCCACCCCCACCCCTCTCCGCCCCGGCGCCCCCATTACCCCTCATATTGGTGCTCCTACAGAAGCACGCGACGACATGTAAGACCCACAGACCGCTCCGCGCCACCAATGGAAGAGTTTACATTTTGTGCTTTGGCAAACCTCCGTCCGTGTCTATGGATCGATTCCTGGCATTCCGACGTCCTTCACTCTGTCCGAGTACTGGGACAGAGAGCCACGTTTTGTTGCCCGAGCCCACGACACGCCACGGCAGACAGGCGCCTGTCTCGCCTTCGTCGACGGAGTATTTGCTGCGGCAGACAGGCACCTGTCTCGCCTGCATCAACCGCATTTTTGGGGGCCATCGGGCACCGTCCTCCCCTGCATCGACAGTGTGCGATCACCAAGTTTTCAAGGCCATCAAGCCTGACGAACTGCTGTGGGCACATTCCGACTTCCCCTTGGGCATAGCATCTGAGGACGTGGGGACTGCAGGACTCATCCGAATTGGCGGCACTTCTCCCAGGACCGCTGCCGGAGTCCTCGCAAAAAACTGCGGTGAACACTGGTCGTCTCAGTGGTGTGGGCTCTTCGATCGCTGTTGTCCCGACTCAGTGCCAGAAACTATGTGCTCCTGCAGTATGATTTTGCCTTCTGTAGTGCTTTGGGGGCTCTCGAGTAGATAAAACTGCTCCAAATCTCTGTGTGTGTGTGTGTGTGTGTCTGCACTGCACTTAGAATCTCAACGGCCAGAGTTGTCGCTGCGACTGTGGAGATGAGGAAGCGGATTTCGACCGCACGCTGTGGATGCTCGGGGCATACCGTTCTGCAATGATCGCCTATTTGATTACCGGCACAGATCTTGCCGGGCATCCCACGCTGTTGCCCCTGTTGCCCCTGAGGGGTACACAGCGATACCGACACGGAGTCATTTACATTACGTAGGCAATCTGCTGATGAAACCTTCACCGACTGAAAACAGTTCACATTTTTCGATTACAGAGATGCCTTCACCCGCCGCACCGCTGCCACCTTCATTGCCGGCTATGTTGGACCATAGACGTCTTGTCTCCCAAGCCTCAGAAGTGTTCAAGACGCATTTGCTTGGGGAGATGCCTTGCGGCCCAATTGTCCGATGATGGGAACGTGCAGGAGTTACAAAGGAGGCAGCACGCAGGAGTTCCTACGAGCTCAGGCGGAGGTGTGTTAATTGAACCAGTCCCCTTTACACTGAAGTCACAAAACGTGGTGCAGTCACCGAGGCAACAACCAGTGAATAGTGTCACTGTCTCTCGACCGCTTGTTGACAGGCGCTGGATTTCGTTTCAAGGCTTCCGAAACTGATACACGCCAAGACATCTGCCGGGTCCCCAGCCGTGTCGAGCCCGCGCTGCTTTGGAGTTGCAAGCACCGGAGCTTCGGAATGTGTCCACGGTGGTCTGGGTGTAGTGCCGCTCAGGATTGGATGACGAAGCGTCTGTTGGAGCCGGACCTAAGGCAGGGAGGATTGAAGCTGATGTGTTGGGGTCCGGAGCCCCTCACATGCTCTTGTTAAAGACTTCCGAGACAACAGGCTGTGTCTGCCAAGCGCTGGGCTTGAGCGCTGGACAGGTACATTCAGAAGACTTCTGCTCTTGCCATCACGGAGGGCTTGCACTGACCCGAGGAATTCAGATAGAAGAGCTATCCCGTTTTCGTGGTTCGATGTAGTGACGCAGTCGTACACTAAAAGACAGAAGCATATGTATGGCTCCATCTCACTGGGGATAGCGCCATCTTTTTCGGGGTGGACGAGGCACCTCTGTTTCACAGCCCACTGCTCAAAGGGCCTGGGCTATGTGAGGCGAATTGACTCCCCACGTTGACAAAGGTATCGGGATGTGTCAGGGCCTTATGGGGCTTGAGTGAGGACCAAAGCTTGCACTTCATCTGCTCATCTGTGGATGTTCGTTCGAGAATATCCCGTGTGTGCTTGGCTTGCTTCTCGATGATGCAACATATCCGGTTTGGTGACCCGGTGTGTGTGTGTGTGTATGTGTGAGAGAAGTGTTGCGGTTTCCGACGGCTTTTCATTCATCTTCGGACAGGCAAAAGATCAACGTGGTTGACTTAGGGCAGCTCTGCCCTCAGCGAGTCTGAGCGAGCTCTGCACCGTGGAGGGTGACGTTGTTGCTGTGAGCAACAGCCAACACCACAACACTGAAGCATACTCAAGCATTTGACGGTCGCTCTCTTGGGAAGTGCTCGTTGTGTCAAGGGTAGAACATCCGTTGGCAGATCTTCGTTGTTCACACCTCAAGGCTGACACCTCCCTTCGGCTACTGCACGGAGTCCTGGAGAAAGGCAATTGACCGCCAGATCGAGGAGGCTGACGGGAGCTTGGGAATGTCTCGGAAGAGACGGGCAAGGCAACGAACGTGAGATCGTGCTTAGTGGCTTAGTCCAATCTACGGAGAGGATCAGTATTCGTCCGGGCGTCGCCGAATCCAAGCGAGACATATGGCAAATGTGGCGGTGGTGGTGGCGGTGGTGGTGGTGGTGGTGGTGGTGCTGGTGGTTGCAGAGCTGCGTAGGGCAAAGCGATTGCGACTTTTTCACGCAGCAGGTCGTCAGGTGGATTGACCGCCACATGGGCGAATACTTCATCCACACGGACGGGTTGAAGCTGCCCTGGCAGACTTTTGCTGCCCTATCCTGATGGCCAGCCTCTGGAGTCTTCTTGTTGCCCTGATTGGAGGACACTGACATCCAGTTCTTCCCGCGATTTTTGCAGGTATCCCGGATGTGACATTCTTGAGTTTAGAAGGCGTGGGTGATGTGTATCTTCAAGTATCCGACACTGGAGTAGGTAGAAGCTGGGTGCTCGCAATCCTTCAGAGCACTCCTGAGGCAGCTTCAGCGCGAGTGGCTGCAGTGGATGAAGGACAGGCCGTGGAATTACATGTCCGGAGGATGGCAGTTGGCAAGCACCTGCCAGCAGGACGAGTATCGGCAACGCAGCAAACTCCGCATGTGTTTGGGCAAATCTTTGCCAGGACGAGTCACTTGACATGCTTTTCATGCGCGAGCGCACAGAGGCCAGCTTCGAAGCCAAGTGCATTGGTGGTCTATGGACTAGCGATGGAACCTTTGGAATCGGCGCACCTTTGACTACCATGGAAGCTGTATTTTTTGTTGGGGGCCTAAAATGGAGAACCCCCCCAATAGAGCATCTCACAGCCGCCTTTTGCACCAGGTCATACCTCATCTTCGCCTCGGCGAGGTGAATGCTGGTTTCTACGTCGTCCACTGCAATACCCGGACGAGGCTGCTCTCCGTCTTTAGTGTGTTCTTTTGCTTTTTCTGTCAGAAGAGCCTTCTGCAACGAAGATTTCCGGCAAGGTCCTTCTGGCAGACTGTTCTGCAGGAAGAGCAGGCGGGATCCTGATGTCGAGCCGCCGCATCCCCAGCACCAAGCACCACTGCCGGGAGGCTTGCCCAAAGATGGAGGGCCATCCGCCGTATACCGCCTTGGACCCAGGAAGCAGCATCTGCAGGTTCTTCGAGTTGTAAATTGCTCTCCTGTCACCGTTTTTTGCTGTAAGGATCAGTTTCACTTGAATCGTGGACTTGGCCACCGCCGGGGCGCTTTCCCTCAGGACTCTGGCATTTTGTCCAAAGTTCGTGTGCGGATGCACCTGTGACACATGCAGGTGTTGTCTGTCAGGATTTATGCATGCCACGCCAACAAGTTCAAAGACTGTTCTTAAGGGACTGATGTGTCCGGCCGAAGAATCCTCTCTCAGACGCCCTAAAGCTTACCGGAGCCACAGTAAGCTGAACCATCCCAAATGACAAGGAGGGGGCCTTCGGGGTGCGCTGGGCTGAGCCCTCGGAGTCGGCCTGGTCCTACCTTGTGTATCAGATGATGTTTCTGAGCATTTTTGCCTTTAAAGTGACATGATGTGAGTGATGGTGCTCTTGAAGAGAAGCGGGTGGAAGTGCTGATTTTCTGCGGTTCCGGCTGTGGGTTGGGATTGCTAGAGCTGCTAGAGGGCCTCGCGGCTTTCGCGACTTTGGTGGTTGAGGATTTGTCTGCAGAGGCGACAATACCCGACTACCACTGCATCTGGAGCACGCCTTCTGGTGAGGAGGCGACGCAGCATCTCAGCGGGCCCCGAAGCGCAGCACTCAGATGCCGAGCTTCCCTTTTGCAGGTGAAGTTTGCTGCCTTCCACCACGCGGTGAACACTAGAGACCGGGCTGTATGTCTGAAACGACTCGCTTTTGTCTGGCTGGGACGACTCGATGCAATTTCTGCTTTGGAGGACAAGTCTCAACTGCTTCGTGCCGTGCGGCAGCAGGCAGGGTGTCACCAAATCTAGGGGAATTTGAGGCATAGGTTACGTTTTGCGATAGTGAAGACGATTAGGTGGAACATGGGCTTGCATGCCCAAACCGGTCCTGATGAGGTCTGCGCCGTTCAGCAGAGGCAGCCCCCAGGCCTGTCGCATTGGAAGCAGGGATCGGCTCTCTCAGCACATCCACAGGGCTGCGAGTGGTAGGAAAACCCAGCCACGACAGAGTCCTGTCGCAGAGTCTCAATCTGCAAGAGTCACTGTACCCCCCCCCCCCCCCCCCCTTTAGATGAAAGGTTTGCTGGGGAAGCTGCCGCTACGCTCCGAGAACCAAGGTGGAGGCGGGTCTGTCGCCTTCTCAAATGCTGACTCGTTCTTGACTAGCGGAGCCCCTCAAGTCCACAACTAGGCTCCAGCCTGGTTGCCCAGATACAACAGCCGGGCCCTCGGCGAAAGCGGATGTCGGATCTGATGCCTTCGGCTGCACCCGAAGACTTGAAGCTTCTTGCGAGGCTGACTTCAGCTTTGAGAGGAGCACCCGCCGGGATTCGGTTGCAACAGAAGACTTGCCAGCTTGTTAAGGGACGAAGCACAGCTTTGCTGGGTTGATGTCTGACTCCTTGGGCACGTTGACTGATAGTTTCTGGTCTATTTTGTTTTGCTCTGGGCCCCAAGTGCCAAGTCATCTACAGGAGTCCGTGCCCAGTGTAAACAGCTCAATCCCGCCGAGTTGCAGGCGGGCTTGCAGGGGTGTCGATTCTGGGATATCAGAGGTCTACAAGACTAAAGCACAGCAACATGAGGGCCTGACCTTAAGGAACATAATGTCGATTGCCTAGCAGGGGCAAAGCAAGAGGCGAATGAGGGCAGCACCAAGGGCAACACAAGAGCAACAGCCGGCAGTGCAGAAAAGCCACATCCAGGCGCCAAACCTCCAACCCAAAATCCCACCAATTCCAGTTGAGAATCAGCCCTCAGCCCACACCCCTTTTACTCAAACACTGCTGTCGGACCCCAAAGCCTGTTGAATGCACCCGGCCAACGACAGAGCTGGCCGTGAAACCCGGAATCGTCTGGACGCCTTTGGACCTTCAGAGCCGCAGATCTCAACCCCAAGCTCAAGCTTCTGGTTTTGGCTGGCGACGACCACCAGCGTGTCTTGAATCATCTTGAACCTCTTTTGGCGAACCGGCCAGTTCGAGTCCTAGGCCCCTAGGCACAGCTCCACACGGGCCAGCTAGGTGCATGAGGGGGCGACTCCCCAACCTCCCAGGTTTTCTTGCAACGTCCAGGACTCGCAACCCCAGCTACGATCGAGTTGGTTTAGGGACGGACATATCAGGGTGATGATCTGTTTTTCGGGCCTAGAGCAACAGATCCGCCGGGGCAACGCCCGTTACCTCTGCAGAAGTTTCAATCAGGCGGTTGCCAGGTGCAATGGCAAAATAGCATGATTGAGAGTTATGTGTGTTGGTGTGCAGCAGTGTTTTGGGGTGTCTACTCGTGTTTATTTCGGGGCCTGTTGTTACAGCTGAAGAAGGACTTTCCGACAATCATCACCCTGACAGCATTCGGAGATCTTTCAGCGGGAGTTTGTTGTTTACTCGTGGAGCCGGGTAGATACCTCGGCCGCTGTAGAGGGCGATGCAGCCGGTCGAGCTATGTCGAGCGGACTCTGCAGAAAGGATGGCACAAGAGATGGTGAAGACCTCTGACATGAACTGCTTGGTTGTCAAAAACTTTGTTGGCGACACTTGTCAGGACTTCGGTTTGCTGGAATGGGCAAAACTCTTCTGCGAATTGGGGGAGCCGGTGACGGATCAGCTCTGCTACTATGAGGGCCATCTGGCTAAACCCGGGGAAACCTTCAATCGGCAGCTGCAGCGGCAGATGGAGGAAGATTTTCGCATCTGCGCCGAAGAGCTAGACCAAGGGTCTGTGAGTGAGGAGCTTGCCACGGGAAGCCCATCCGCAGTAAAGGCTCTGCTGCACCTGCTGGAGCGGCTGATGCTTCTGCATGAGGCGTGTCGACCATCGGGCGGAAAAGGCGAGTTGCGCTGGAAGGTCAATTTTGAGGTGAACCAAAATGGGGCCTGCACAAAATATCACAATGACCGCTTCGACAATGTTCGCTTCGCCGTGACGCTGGCCGGCGACGGTACAGTTCTTGCTGACCAGGCGAAAGTCGACTGGGACTTCCTTGAGACTTGTCAGAGGGCTGTCCCCGCCCTTGCCGAGAATCCGGAGCTTTCTGCATCAGAGGCTCTTGCAGCTATCCAGGAGTGGAACGAGACAGTCTGTCCCGGTCATGTTGCGACCGAACCCGGAGACCTGGTCATCATGAAAGGGGGACAGTTGACCAAGCAGCCTTGCCTGCGCCGGGCACCCTACTCTGCCGGCGAAGGGTTTCATCCTGCAAGGCTCCTCATCACGTTGGATCTGCTCCCGAAGGACGAGCTGCAGCAGTTTATCGACATGGACTTCGGGGATGATGGCCAGAGCGATGAGCCCATGAATCAGGCTCCCAAACCCCAGAGTCTTCTACCAGCGACCGTCCTCAGCGGTTTCCTTGGTGCAGGCAAGACGGCGCTGCTGACGAATTTGCTCCAAAGCCAAGAAGGTTTTCGAGTCGGCGTTGTTGTGAATGATTTGGCAGAGGTCGACATCGATGGCTCGCTGCTGAAGTGGGAGGCTGAGTTCTGAGTTGAGCCAATGGCACGGGAAACCGGCATTTCATGTAATACTCGGAGTTGGCTGTCCGCGATAGTAGGCACCTGCAGGCAAGTTAGACCTGCAGCTCTCCGCTCTCGGGGGTTGGGTTGACTCCGGTGGACAAAATTGAGGGGTGCTAGGAAGCTCCTGGGCCCCATGTCGAACCCAGGTCCGCATCTGCGCTGCTCAAGGGCCAAGACAAGATGGTTGAGATGCAGAAAGACGGAATTAGCTGTACACTCCGTGAGGATCTCATCGAGAACGTGACCAAGCTAGCTGCAGAGAAGCGATTCGACTATCTCCTTATCGAAAGCACTGGCATCTCAGAGCCAATGCCTGTGGCTACCACGTTCGTCCACGAACATGACGGTAAAGCACTGCTTGGCAGTGTCGCTCGCCTGGACACGCTCGTGACGGTCGTCGATGCCTCAAGTTTCCTCAAAGACTACGATGCAGATCAGCAGCTGTGCGACCGAAAGGAGCTGGGAGCCGACGAGAATGATCAGCTTCCTGGCGCAAATGGACAGTTCTTGCAGGACTGTAGGGATACTGTACGTGGCGAGATGGCTTTTTCCACCCTAGGGCACCCTAGAGGAGTTGGCGTTGCACAGATCCGAGGCGGACGATTGCGCAGCTCCTTATTGACCAGGTGGAGTGTGCCAATGTCATAGTGTTGAACAAAGTGGACTTGGTCAAGAAGGAAGACCTAGAGATGCTGGAGGCGCTTCTCAAAAAGCTGAATCCCAAGGCGAAAGTGGTCCGCTCTACCTTCGGCAAGGTTGATTCGAGCCTCTTGCTGAACACACGCAGCTTCGACATGGAAGAGGCCGAACGCATGCCAGGCTGGTTTCAGGAATTGCAGGGGAATCATGTGCCCGATGCCATGCAGTATGGGGTTGTCAGCCTGGTCTTCCGAGCGCAGAAGCCCTTCCATCCAAAGCGCCTGGACGAGCTGCTGAAGGGAGGACTGGAGACGGGGATTCTTCGATCCAAGGGCCTCCTAGTTGGACTTGGAAAGCATCTTCTCGGGTCTTGAATTCTCGTCTTTGAGGGTCGACTAGACTTATCTCTTCCTGTCGAGGTCGGCTTTGGGTGGCCGGCCTGGATGATGCCTCTTTTGTTTGGCATCAGGCAGGCAGCACTCTGTCCATCGACACCGGTCCTGGCTGGCTGCACGGCTCTCTGGATCCCAAAGACTGGCCTGCCGACACGCCGGAGGAGTACCGAACGGCGCCCTACGGAGAGACTCGGCCACCCTTTAGCTCTTTCAGCCTTCTGAGTCATCGTAAAAAAAAGGGAGGCCGCTGGAACTGACGTGTGTTGAATGAGGACCGGCGGCAGGAGCTGGTCTTCATCGGAAAGGACCTGGACCAGGACTCCCTGCGCCAGCGCCTGGAGCAGAGCCTGGTCACGGAGGTTGAGTTTGAGCAGGGCCGGGAGGAGTGGGCCAGGTGGCCCAATCCCTTCAAGGGAGCCGAAAAGCCAGCGCGGAAGAAGGGAAATCTGGCAGCCAGAAGGGCTGCCCTTCGGAGAAAGCGGGCAGCTGCGCCGGCGGTGGCAGGAGATGTGCCGCAGGCGTCCCGGCCCAAGAAGGCCAAGACTGTCCAACGGAGCAAAAAAACCGGTCAAGGCACCAGCGATGCTGAGGTGAGCCCTTGCCAAGATCGTCACCATGAGCGCCACCGCGAGTGTGCATCTCGATTGTGTAGAATAGGCAAATGCAGGTGCTCATGACTGCTGTCATAAGCGGTCTGATCCGGGACGCTTGAACAACGGGCGGTGGTCTTTCAGCAGGTGTCGGCAGCGGACTTTGTACAAAGTACTGACAACGTGCCACGGTTCTGGTAGCTAAAGGCCCGTACGCAACCTTAAAGCGCGTAGCAGGCTCTTGCAGGCCATGGCACACCAATCGCTTTAAGACATTTTCACGGTTGCAAGACATATCTGTACAGAAGCAACAGAAGTCCAAAGGAGCAGATGGTGGCCAATAAAAAATGGGAACCTGAAGGCCAGCCGAAGGCTTCGATAGCACTTCGGTGCTCGATGGTGGAGTCTTGCTAGCAGTCCTCGCGTTGCATTCTTCGGTTCTGAGAAGTCTTGCATGTGTCTGCTTGGAAAGTGACGTGCGTTTAGGGTTTTCGATCGGCTCCGGCCTCCTGCGCTGTTCTCCGAAACGGTGGTAATTGGTCTCCGTGGGAGTCTAGGACTCTATAGGACTCTAGGAATCGGGTTGCACATTCGAAGCCTCGCTTCTAATCATCTGACACCGTTTCTGTGGGTTGCCGCATGCTTTGGATGCACAGAGAGGTGCCTCGCGCTGGGAGACATCCGATAGGTTTGTGATTGTCGAGAGACATGGCACGAGTGTGGCATCAAGGTGCAAAAACGCTTGTTCATAGCACGAAGCATGTTTGCAATATCGGTTACATAGAAGGGCCAGTTCTGGATCCCAAGCAGGCATGTTTTCGTGGGCAAGCAGTGGCAACATGAAATATGTCTTTAATTCCTGGCCAAGCTACAACTCAAAAGAACTGGGACAAGCCTCATCCAAATATGACCAACGAGGCGCTCTGCTACTTGCGCGAGGAATCGGAGGCTCTCTTACAGGCCCATCTCAGCATTGCACTTTGTCTTTGCAATTAGTTCCGCTTGAAAAGCCAAGTCTTAAGGCGGCAGCTGTAGGAAAACATGTTCTGCGGATGCAGTCACAGAAGATCTCGAGAGCATAGAGGGGAGGCTCGCGGCCCCAAGTAGATGGCAGAAGATATCGTTGACTGTCACTGACAATCCCAGTCATGATGACAGCCTAGTCGCAATTCATTGGCAGGTATTTCTGAGCAACAGCTATTTTGACTGACATCGGCTTCAGCGGTTGGGATGGCCATTACCATGACCAAAGTCTCCTTCTTGCGATCATGATGATGTCGGTCCTCCTCGTCCTCCTCGTCCTCATCCTCATCCTCATCCTCGTCCTCGTCATCGTCATCGTCATCGTCGTCGTCGTCATCGTCATCGTCATCATCATCATCATCACCATCATCATCATCATAATCGTCATCATCATCATCATCATCATCGCATCATCGTCATCGTCATCACCATCATCATCACCATCATCATCGCCATCAGCATCGTTATAATCAAGCTTTCGTCATTTTTTGCGCACAGAGTTTCCATCACTGCTTCCCACGTTATCATAGGACTATGGCTCAGAGTTGCGAGCGAACCAGGCTCTTAGAAGGAGTACAGCATTACGCGATCTTTCCATGCATGTGTAGTGTTGTTTAGTAAGCACAGTGTAGTGTATTCTCAGTCGCAACTTCAGAACTTCAGGCCGAATGGGCCTCTGCAAAAGTTCGGTTTGATGATGTGTCAGTGTAGAGGCCACGTCTGTTCCGGCCTCTTCATCCCGATCATCCTACTCCTGTTTCCTTGCGGAGGCTTCGGAGTCCAACGCCTGCTGCGCCTCCTGCGGGATCTCAGGCTTCTGGTGGACTCTGAGGCGTCCGCGCAGCAAACAAAGCCATCAGCTGAGGCCTACCGTTCTTCGGCCTGAAGCCCTGTAACTCTGCAGGTGGAGCAGCGAGGATGGTCAAGGCTATTGCCGGCCTTGCTGGCTGCACTGGCAGCGCTCCCAGTGCTAAAGGGTCAAAATAGCAGGGGTTACTCGGCTTCTGAAGTTCTTTGCCGCCTCATGGCCTTGGCTTCTCCTCTTCTGAAGTTCTCAAGAGGCTTCCGTGGTTAGGAGGACGCCTTGGATCCATACCTGCTGGCCTTCGCAGTGTTGTTCTCTCGATACTATCCTCCTGGACTGCTAGACTTTCCCGCCGCAGGCTGTCAGAGTTTATGCTCTCGGTTGAGAGCTTGCGAAGTCCTTGATGCGTGTATAATATGTCGGTTCGTCGGTTTTCACTTTGGGCTTGATTTTTTGCGTGCAGTTGTCCATTGGAATCGTCGTAAGTAGACGGGTACAAGTATCGTCCGGCCAGGTCCAGTGATCTGCAAGACAACCAGCAGAGGCCGCGGCATCATGATGCTGCTCGCGGGATATGATGGACATGATGGAAAGCATATTGACACGCATCATTCGATGGGTGTTCCGTAGGGGAGGTCGCGATAATCTCAGAAGTCGTTCAGCTAATTGCCACTGCGATGGTAAAGCTGGACCCTACGAACCTGCGTACTCGGGCAGAGGTCTCTTTGCTACTTTCGTTTTTGACCGATGTCCGCAGCTGACAGGTCTCACTACAGCGGAGCTTGGGCCGATGATTTGATGCAAAGGAAAAGAAGAGTCAGCGGCTTCAGCTTGCGACGTGAGCGCCGGCTGTGGGCTTTGCTCTGCACACGGCGTCCGTGCACAACCTGTGATCTTATTTTCCTGCCTTAAACCCGACGGATTGCTAATCCCTACTAAACCCGAAACGGCGAGGTCCTGCTTCCCGGTCAATTCACACACCCTACATATGACATGCACACATCGTTTTCGACCCGGGGCTGCAGCTGAGTTGATCGGAGCCCAATCGCCTCTCGTGAAGCACGAGATTGCGTTCGTCCTCGCTCGTAGACACTGCCAACTCTGCTGCAACGGGCATGTGCCTAGTTCCGTCACTCTTGATTAATGAGCTTGGCCTCGCTGTCGCGCTCTGTGTGCCCCTTGCAAGGCCCGTCCATTCTCCCTGCGCATCGTCCGAGCTGAGCAGTCCTATTTGTCAAGGGCACCTACATTTCGCGAAGTTCACGCCGGAACCAATGTTGAAAGCTTCTCCGCTGAGCCATGCAGTTGCTGCATCCTCCTCTGCATCCGTCTGCACGTCCCCGTTGCACACTCCCTCTGCGCTGGGATAGTGCAGTGTGATATGAGGCTTATGGCAACAGTGACATAGGGCGTGGCATCCATGGAGACACTGGCCCCCGGGTTTTGGCACGTGGAGCCAGTCACATCACTGGGTGGTTTCCTTCCTGATGGCTCCGACTGGCGCCTGAGTTCGTTGCAAGGATTCAAGACCCATCTCGTGCACCTGGAAAAACCACGATCCGGTTGCCCTTGACGTACCCATCGCATTGGAGGCCCTCCAGCTGGTCCGTGCCTGCGCTTCCTTGACCGCGTCGCTGGTGGGAGCGTTTCTTGGCTGGAAGCGCCGAGCCGCTCGTTGCTGGAATCAGCTCTCCATGCTGCTCTCTGATGCCGCAGCAGTTGATGGACAGCCGCCTCCACTTCTTCTCGTCGACTTCGTTGTCGAACCAAGCTCTTCCGTTCGTATAGCGTGCCATGCCCTGGTCGCTTCCTGTGCGCAAAGGTATCCTGGCCGACCTACACTGACGGCATGGAAAGTGCAGAAAAGCCGCATGTCCAACAAAATCGCTTGCCAGCGGTTAGCCCCTGTGCTCTGGCTTTGCAACCGCCTGAGACACAGGAAAGCAGAGTTGCGAAGCAGCAAGGCACGGAAAAATGCTTTCGATCTTCAATGAAGATTCAGCATTTGAGGAATTCCGAAAAGCAGGACACCTTCGTGGCTGCATGAGGGTCTGTTGTTCTGCCTTGTGGTCCCGGTGCAACAACGCCACGTGCTGCCTTGCCAAGGTAAGTGTCCTCTACGCCTCTACGCCCGATTCCCACGGTTGCAGCTCCCATACGCCTGTATGACTACGTGCTACAAGCTTGCTGAGGGATGCTGAGGGTCGTGGGATGTCGCAGCCGCTTGCTCCAGCTTTTTCACCCGTAGCAGCTCGTGGACAAAAAACGTCCATCAGTAGATCCCAAGAAACTCTCCCCAGATTTCGGCGGCTCTGGCCCTTCAGTGTCCCCATCTCCTCGATGGTCTCCTTCTCGAACAACTCGCAAACCCCGCGGGCTCTTCCTGTATGCGAAAATGCAAGTTGCGCATTGTCGGCCCGGTCTTCATGCCATTCTTGCCCTCGATGCCGTCGTCCTCCGAGCTTTGCGACGGCGGCCGCGCACCGGGCTGGTCCGCCACGGGGCGTCGGATCAAACTCGTCGAGCATTCGTGGCACGAGAAGCCATCCGGCCCTAGGTTGTGCCGCAGCCCCCAGTCTCCTAGAGCATCGGCGTGGTGCTGGCAGTGCATTCAAAACATGAAAGCAAGGCACGGCAAAAAAAATGGAGATCCTAAGCTCGAGGCAAACACATGCAGTTTCGTATCGTCGCCGGAAGAGGCGTGTCAAGGATGCAGTTCAGCAGGCAAGCGCCGGGACGAGAACGAAGAGATCGGCCCCGCCGCAGCAGCGGCTTGTCCACGCCACCGCGCCGGCCGTAGCCCCCGAAGACCGCAAACATGTACGTTATTTGCAGGCGATGGGGTGCCACCCAGTCCTGGTGCAGTTGCAGAGGATGGATCTGTGCCACACACCACTGCAAACCAAGCTAGCTGCTGGTAGCGCGCAAGCCCTGTACGTCCTCGGCTGCGTGGTGGAAGGACGGTAGGATGCACCAAACCATGCACGTGTGAACCCTGGCAAGACCAGCCCTTGTTGGACGACGGGGCTGGCGTCGCACCAAACTGCCCAGTGAGCGGTGTGGCGGTCAGAGCTGTCGCAGCGCACAGGCCGTGTTTCTTCAATGATTAAGAAGTATAAGCGATCAGGGATCAGCGTTCAGTGATCAGCCATCATTCACCAAACTCTTCTACCCAAGACTTCTTTAGACACATCCCGAACAGAAGAACGAACGCAACACCGACTCAACACCTTGGCTAGCTTAGGGCTAGGTTTCAAGAGCATAGGGCCAGGTTTCGAAACTTTTCATAAAGTGATAGCTTCATGGCTCCGGGGTTGCGGTTCGGTGTGCAGGTTCTGCAAGGAGAAGAGTTTTGCGATAAGAGGGCTGACGGCTAAAAACTCATTTTGAACTAGCGAGACTCCATGTCGCGCTGCAGTGTGTTGTAACACGAGTCATCCCTTGCAATCATTTTTGGTTTTGAGTGCCTGCTCTGAGCCCGGTAGGTGCCCCGTGGGTAGAAGCCCGGTTTTTTGGCTTTCGCATGGTAGCGGAGCTCTGCTGAAGGGCCCCCGGGCCGGCAACTCCGTCGAAGGCAGCTCCGCAGGTCCTTCCGGACCTGCGTCAGGCTGCGGGTCGTACCCCCCGAAGGGTGCAAACCAAGAGGCCACGGGGGGCCTTAAATCCCGGGATCCAAAGCGCCAGGCTGGTGGCTTAGCGCGGGAGGAACCGCTCTTCGGCACTTGGGCCGAGAAACCAGGACAAAGGGCCGCACCCGTTTGGTGTGGTTCCTTTTTTTCTTTCACTTGGGACGACGGAGGTTGGAATCGAGACGACTGGTCTCGGAACAGTAGCTGGAGGATGCTGGAGGGACCAAGACGACACCAGCGAAAGCCAGCAGCACTGGAACTGGCAACTGGACGCGTGGGAGCAAGAAGAAAAACCCGGCTCTCAGGACGACCTTTGGCGCGACTGGAACGGCGTCAACGGGTGGGGGTGTGGGGATAGACCCGGAGCTCGGGCAGCGGGAGGTGCCGCGACTACCATAATCGGTCCCCTGCTCAGCCTTCCGCCTGCGGATCCGGCAGCGGAGGCGGGTCGACCAAGAAAGGACAACCCTGGTGAGAAAGGCAGCCTACACAGTATGTGTGGGACAATGGAAAGTCTTTGAGGAAAAAGAAGGAAACGTACGCGGAGTACCTAGCTGGGACAGGCAACTGGAACGAATCGAGCGCGGGCAGAAGTGCCGACTCGAAAACCCGTACTGGAGGGTCACGCGCACACCTCTCGCGCACTCGTGCTTCAGCGAGTGCACGAGGTCCCGCAAGAGCTTCCGCTGCTTCGGCCAAGCCCCGCGGCTCGGGCTTATAACCTCCGCCTTCACTGGCAGTACGCATCCGCTCTGCCACCTGAGCTGAGGCGGCCACGGGCTCTTGCTGCACCGTTGGGCTTTCCGAAGAGCTTTCGGACAAACTTTCCTCTGACTAGCCAACAGTGCCTCCCGCCTCGGTGGTTCGGTCGGACCAGCCGCGTTGGTGTCCTTGATTGACTCACTTGAGTCGTCGCCCTTTTGCTGGTCGTTGTCCTGGGCGGCCGCTGCCGGCGGTGCTTCCTGCACTATACAGGCTGCGCAGCTTGCCCTTGGGTACGGCGGACTCGGGCTGCGCTCGGCAGCTGTTGACTGCCATGCTGCTGGCTGGGCCTCGTGGCTGGACACTCTGCCAGCAATCCGTGCGCGCTGTTCGCAAACCGCCGCCAATGTATTTTTTTTCCCCGGACCTTTATCCGGCTGCCAAGGGTGCTTGAGCTCAGAAGGCTACGGCTACAGGTAGCTACAGCGACCGGTTCCCTACGGTTACGGTGTAAGCACGTCACCCGCAAGCGGGGCGTGGACCACACATGGCGGGGGGACGGGTGGACTAGCACGGAGCCGGAAGACGGCTCGCGGGCACTGGCTCGGTGTCATGAGCATCCGCGAGGAGGTCACCGAGAGGTGGCTTCGTGTCGCATTCATCTGCTGCCGCCAAGGGCAACTCAAGTAGCGAGTAAGCCAGCGCGTGTTGCGCCGCCACAGCCAGCATGCCCGTCCAACGGTGCACGGAGGCACGCTGCACGGCTGGGCCTAACCGCGCGGGGGACTCGCGTGCACGAGCCTTGGCCAGAATTCCGTTTTTGCTTTTCACGCCTTTTTCCGCCTGCCGGAATATTGTGTCCCTTTGCTCCTACCTGAGCCACTGAGCCCAGCTGCCGCTGCTCCGGGCTCGATGCGCGGTCCTTCGCTAGAACCGCAAGGGCAAGCGACTCCGGCCCGCAGGGGCGGCATGGTGGACGATGCTGTCGAGCGGCGCCCTCGCCGACCTCCGGCTGCAGCGGCTGCAGCCAAACACCGCCCAGAGCCGTACCGGCAACTGCTTGCTGCACAGCAACTTAAAACCTGCTCCACCAACACCGCACCCAACCGGCAGTGGCTGCCACGCGCACGGCTGGAGGGGCGCGCTGATCGTGCGGTACGCCCTGAGACGCACCAGGTCTCACACGAAGCTGCGGGCCTGGGCATTCCAATGGCCACCCACCTCCGAGCCGAGCACAACGAACGTTTGTGGCCCTCCCCGCGCGAGTTCTGGGTACGTGGCGCGCTGGCTGCGCTCCACCGCTGCCCAGCACCTCGTACACGACGGATCGCAGCAAGTTAAGCGCCGGCCTGCGGTCCTGCCTGGGGTCGCATAAGTGCTTGAAAACTGGGCGGCATGTCGGGCAGCAGCGTACGGTCGCGGAAGTGTGTGTTGAGGATTCGCATCATCTGCCATCCATGCGGCCAGTCTAGTCTCCCGGCCCCGCATC